CCGACGGGCCATCGCGTCCCTGGACGCCTGGCCCTGGCTTTCGGAGGCCTCGAGAGGCCGTCTGTATTCGGGCAGCGTTTTGAAGCCAGGGGAATGGGTCTACGCGTGGCGCCGAGTTACGGCTGCGACTCGCTCTCACTCGTTGCAGCGCGATCGGTGGACTGGGCCAGGAGTGGCTGTCCACCAGACAGGCAGCGCGGCGCGGGTCGCGATGGGGACCCGCCTCTCAGAATATTATGAGGGACAGGTGCGCTCAGCCACCTCGTCAGGATTCTCTCGGGGCGGAGCCCCTACCGAACGCATCGAAGTTCTTCGAGAGCAAGTCAGGGCACCAGGGCCCCGCGCTGGGGCCGTCGATGTGGCCGAGGGGCCTCCGCCGCGCGAAGCTCACGATCGACCAGATTATGGGGAACCATCTAGGCCTTCTCCAGCCACTCGGGTTCTGGACCGCCGACCCCGCCCCAGACTTGCGGATGTTCTGCGAGCCCCGGGGTCTGAGCCTCACCCTCTCGGCAGCGAGGCCCGCGCGGCCCTTCTCTCGGCCGGGCTTCCCGAGACGTCTGAGGCCACGGAGCCCGTCGCGGAGCCAGGCGTCTCTCTTGCTTTTCTTGGCGCGGGCGGTGCCGGCCCCGGCGCCCCCGCTTCGGGTCCCCCGCCACTATGAGAGATTCTGAAGCGAGAAAAGGGGGGGCAAGATAACGAGAGGAGGGCGACTCCGACACTGACGCCTGCCGAAGAGCTTTCGGGAGGGCCTCGAGTTCCTCAGATGGCCCCACAGCTCGAGAGTCCGCAGGTGTCCTCCAGGCCCCTGGGGTCTGGGGGCCTGTCTCTTCGAGAGCTCCCCGGGTTTTTGGTTTCGGGGCCGCCCCCGCCCCTCCTCGGGCCATCACGGAGCCCTTGCCTTTCCGGCAGTCGGAGCTGGGCGATCAGGATCTAGCGCCCATCTGTGGTCCTCCTGCAGGAACTCGCCGAGTGGTCGGGCATCCCCGGCGCCCTCGAGTGTCTCAGCCTGTGCGGGGCAGCCTTGGACAGTCCTTCCGGACCAGCACAGTCCGGCGCGCCTGCCAAGCCCCGAGGGTCCGAGGTCGTCTGGAAGCACCTGGCCTCGGATCAACGTCGACAACTCTTGGGAACGGACCGTGCCGAACGGGGGGCTACGCCTTCATCGGGGGCGGCCTGGGCCCTCTCGGCCCGTCCTGGACGGGGCTGCGTCATCGAAGATGGCCCGTGGGCTGGGGCCCCGAGGAGGAGCGGGGGCACCTCCTCGGGCGAAGAGTCGCTGGCGCGCGCGCGGGCGCCAGGGCCTGGACAGCGAGTCGCCGTCGATGCGCGCCCGCGCCACGGGCCGGAAGCGCCCTCGCCGCTCTCCAGATCACCCCCCCCCTTCGGCGGCGACTCCAGGTTGCCGATGCCTAGAGTGCCTTTTGTCAGAGTAACAGGCTACAGAGACCGAGCGTTGCAATTTACGGGGCCCCCGTCGCGGACTGCCCCTGGGACCGGAAGTTCTCATATAAATTGTTGCCCCCGTCTACGCACTTGGCGATGCTCTTCTCCCCTGGCGCCGTGCCATCGCGGAGTGGCTAGGGCCCCAGGGATTCGCTCGCCCCGAGTTGGAACCCTGCTTGCGGCCGGAGGGGGAAGCTCGGCCGCTTGGAGGCCCTTGTTCTTGAAGAGGTAGACGACCTCATCGTGGTTGGGGATGTGCGCGCGGCGCCTTTTCTCGGGGAATCTACGCGCGATGGGTTCCACTTCGGGAAATGGGAAGAAGCCGAGTCCGAGTGCGATCGCATCACCGTCGATCAGAAAAATGACATCAGTGAACAGCCGAGTGTCACGCAGCTTTCCAGGGAACGACAGTCTCTTCTCACTCAGGGCGAGCTGAGCATTCGCCGCGCTGTACTGGCCCAGGTTCAATGGCTCGCTCGCTCGAGCCGACTAGACGCGGCCGGAAGTGCAGCCATGTTGGCCGCTGCCATGCCTGAGCCCATGGCGGCCGATGCTCCGATTCTGACTGGGGTCTGCAAGTTTTTGAAGGGGTCCAGCGAGCAGAAGCGAACGATCTGGACTCTGGACGCACCCTCGCTAACGTTCGCGACGGCGAGCGACTCCGGGGGGGCCGGGGCCGCGCGGAGGGGCGGCGCTCGAGGGGCGTGGATCGCGATGGCTGCGGATGGGGGGGCTCTGGAAATTTGAGGGTCCAAGGTGGGCATTTTGTCCTGGAGGTCTCCGATGATCAAACGCGCGGTGGCCAGCGCAGTGGCCGCCGAGACATCGGCCTTGTCCGCGGCGACGGCGGAGGCCCAGCGGCTTCGGGCTTTCTTCAGAGATGCTGCTCTCAATGATGTTCCGCGCCCAGATTGGTTCGGCACTCGTTCGCCTTTCATGGTTGTTCTGTCTCGGGACTGTCAACTTGGACACTCGGCCTCGGGACTGGTGGTCTTGGGCGCCAAGTCAGCGTTCGACGCCTTGCGTCGGAATTCGGCCAGCTCCCGAGCTGGCCGCGGAAGCGCATTAGAATAAGCAAATATAAGCAATCATTCGCGGTGCTCACTGCGCCGTCGGGTCGCAAACCAGATGGGTGCTGCGCGCTCAAATGCTTCCAGACCCACTTACGCATATAAGGGGAACCTGGCGGCCCAAGATCTTCTGACCCGCGGGGCTCTTTCGCTTGTGGGTGAACGCAATCACATGTCTGAGAGAGAGAGAGAGCCCTGAACGAGAGTTTGAAGAGCCGCCCCCGAGGTGCACGTCGCCGCGCCCTCGGAACCCAGAGGCCCGGTCCGACTGCCAAGGACGAGAAGATGCAAGAGGAAGGCGGATGCCGAGGTAAAGGTGGAGAGGGTGTGAGGAGGAGAAGCGACGAAGAGGAGGGGGGCCCCTGCTCGCCCGCCCGCAGAGTCCTCCACCCCAGGTCGTGGACATCGACGCCGCCCCCGCGCGCGTCGAGGTCTAGGCGGGCCCCGCGCCTGGCTCTTCAATCCCGCCGTAGTTAGGCCCGCTGCCCCCGAGAGCCCCTGCGGGCTTAGGCCCTCGGACTTCCGCGGGCCAGGATCTTCGGTGGGCCTCCGGGCGCCCGAGTCCTTCTAGGGACTTCCCCCCTCTCCGTGTCGCTTCGGGATTCGCTTGGGGTCGGGGCTCGGCTCGCCCCCCCGTCGCCCATTGGGCTAAGGGCGCAGGACACCCAGTTTCGGTGCCTAGCTACGAAAGGCCCCCGCGCCCTCTTAGGCTTGACGAGCCCGCAGATCCCAGGGCCGCGTCTCGGTTAGACGGCCTGGGGGCGCTTATCTTCCGCGGGCCGCGCATGGAGTTCGTGACCCTGGAGGTCAATGGTCGAGTTGTGCCTTTCTCCGACGGAAGTCTCGGGCCTTCGCGCGCCTCGTTCCCGAGGGCCTCGGGGGCCTGAGCGGGGGCTCGGCGGCGCGCGGGGCGGTCGACGGCCGCGGGGCAGTCGGTGCCGACGGCTGGGCTGTGCGCGGCTGTCGGGTGCGTCGGGGCTGCCGGCCTCTCGCTGGGCTTCATATCTGGCGCGATCAGTTCGGCCGCGCGCGTGCCCTGGTCAAAGGGCAGTGATCATCATTGCTTTCAGCCTGAGCGCTCACACTTGCGGTGACATTTTTTCCTTCCTCTTGGACGCTTGGGCGGCAAGTTCCGACTCGCAGCGCGTGCCGCCCCATCCCTCGGATGACGGGGTTCAGTTCCAGCGGGCCGGCTTCGCGCGTGCCCCGAGGGGCGAGCGGCGCCAATCTTGCAGCGGGCGGCCTTGCTGGGTCGATGGCAGCAGTGCGCCACGTCGACCCGGATGTGACGCAGCGCGAGTTGGCATTGGTCTCGATGAAGCAGTCTTGCTTAGGGGTGCTGTTCCGTCTATTTTGTCCGCGTCTCGTTCTCGTTCCCCGTCCCGCGAGGCGAAGGCTCTCCCCGCCCCTGTGGCGGAGAGGCGGGTCAAGCGGCGCGACGCTGCCGCCCGTGCCTCCGACGTAGGTTTCAGGTCATCGGAGTCGGCTGGCGGTGGCCCAGGTGCGGCGAGCACGCGCCATCGAGCAGCGCGTCCGCCTTGGCCTGCCTCGGGAGCGCCTGCCCTGACTTCCCCCAACCGCCGCCCAAGATCGACCTGGGGGCGAAGGGCCGCGGAGGGAGCGGAGTTGGACGCGGCGGGAGTAGGAGAGGGGCAGGTCAGGAACAGCTTTTGTTTCAGAGAAACGTCTGGGGTTGCCGTCGCTGGACGATACTCTGTTCAGACCGCTCTTTGTTTCGGATGCTCCGAGGCGTCTTGAAGGACGAGGTATCCTTGGTAGGGCTGGAGATTCTTCACCTCATCCCATGACCTGTGGGTGAAAGGCTCACAGCGCTTTTGTTCGAAATGTGGACGCGATGCGTCCTCGCCGAAGCCTGGTTTCGACCCATATGGCCGTTAACATTTTGATGGTTCGGTCCACGTCAGCGCAACGTCTCGGGAAAAGACCCCCCACCGAGGTGCGGCCTGGGGCCAAGGGCACAGTGCACCCATGCCCTCAATTTTATCTTGCTGTGGTTGGTGGTCGGATATCCTTTTGATACGTTGTGCCTTCTCTCTGGGCGTTCAATCTCGGTTGGCTGTTTGTGAGGCCTATTGTCCCTAGCAAAAATAACATCCTTTATCCTTGTCCCCGTTCTCTCCTCTGCCCTTGCGTCTCCTTCTTTCTCCTCATTCCGCCCCTTTTCCTCCTGCTCCTCCCTGTAGCCGCACCGTGACGTGCATGGCGCGTTCTCTCTGTCTCTGTTCGTTTCGCTGGGTTCTTCCTTTCTCTCTCTCTCTCTCTCTATCTCTGCTTCTCTCTCGATCCACCCTGTTTCCTCCCCTTTTTGTCTTCCGCTCTTCTCGGCGTCCGCCCTCGCTCCGCCGGCCCCCCTGTCCTCCCCCCACTTCCTTGTCTTTCCCCTATCTCCCCCATGCCTCCCCGTCTTCGTCCTCCTCCTTCCTCGCCCTCTGCTCCTGTCCTGCGCTGGCCTCCCCGCCCGAGGCCATGCAGGAGTGGCCCCTGACCAAGATGACCACTTACGTGCTGACTAACAAGCTCGTGGAAAACGCTCACGTCAAGGAGCGCCCCCCTCCCCCTCTCAGACCTGGAACGCTGTCGCAGAATCACGACGCATGTCTTCTGCGTGTCTGGGGCAGCCCCCACGACGAACGCATGATCCTGGGGACGGGAGCTCCTGGGGTCACAAGGGTCTTTCAGCTTCTGCGCCCACTCGGCCGCTTGACGGCCAGCCGAACAGGCGGGCTCGATCCGGCAGGGCGGTGCGAGTGCGGCCAGGGCGAGTGGGCTCGGCGCCATGCGCAGTCGACGGCCGAATGTGCTCAGACGCCGAATGATAATCCTTGGGCTGCCCGCGCCCCCTGGCCTCCGACACCATTGCTCTTAGAGTACGTGGCCCGCGGAGCCTTCGACCTGCTCCCCATGACCAGCTCTTCACCCTGCAGCGTTCTGTGATGGCCCTTGGGCCTGAAACCGCCCCCCGGAGGCCGAAATGTGCGCTGGGATCTCGGAGGCCTGAACCTGACGCCGGAAGTCGCGCACAAACGCACGACGTCGGAGGGGTCGCTGCGCGCCAGTGGGGGAGGGGGAAGGAGGGAGGGAAGGAGGAGAAGGATGACGGGTGTCTGTGTGGGACTGATACGAAAATGCCTCCCCCCTCTCTCATCGTCAGGGCTGGATTTTGTTCAAGACCCTGGTCAGAATGCACCCTGGGAGAGGTCCAGTGATTGGCACTATCAGTATCTTTTGCCCATCCGGCAGGCATGTTCTTCGCTTTTCGGCGATCTTGTCTGCCGGGGGAGGGGGCGGGGGCGCGTGGGTGGCGCGGGGATTGTTGATCAGGAGGGAAAAACACACAGACAAAATTGATCGTCGATCCCCAAGAAAATATGGGAAATTATAGCCGGAGTGCAGTATCCCCAAACAGGGTTTTTAGACCCACTGCGGTTTCCAAGGTCGATTGCGTGCCCGCCTAGTGCGGGCTGGCATGGCATGTTAAAACATGCCTCCTCCTCCTCCTCCTCCTCCTCCTCGTCCACCTCCTCTTCATCCCGAAAGGCATCTCGGAACCCAGAGTTGCGAGGATGTCTCCAGCGTAACGGGCTGGACCACCTCGCGCGCGGCATTTCGGACCCCAGAGTTGCGACGATGTCTCGGGCGAAACGTGCTGCGAGGAAGTCTCAGGCGAAACGGGCCGGACCACCTCGAGCGCGGCGTCTCAGAGCTCCGAGTTGCGGGGGCCTCCTGGTGCCTCCTGGGGCCTCCTGGGGACCTCCTGGGGCTTCCTCCTGGGCCTCCTGTGGCCTCCTGAACTCCACCTGAGGTTTCCTGAAGCATCTTGGGGCTCCCAGGGGGGATATCTAACCTGTGGCCGCTTGGGCCTCTCCAAATACAGGGGGGGCCACAAGAGCAGGAAAAATCAACGAATCGACACCGGATGTGTATTAACTTGACACGTTCTGATAGAGGGCCTCCTGGGGCCTCCTGGGAGCCTCCTGGGAATCTCCTGGGACCCCTGGGGCCTGTCCTGGGCGTCCTGCGGCCTCCTGGACCTCTCTGGGGCCTCCTGAGGCTCGCAGGGTCCCATGGAGGATATGTAACATGTGGCCTTCTGGGCCCCCAGGCTGGACCACCTCTTGCGCAGCATCTGAGAGCTCAGAGTTGCGAGAATATCTTGTGCGAAACAGGCCGGACCACCTTGCGCACGGCATCTCAGATCTCAGAGTTGCAAGGATTTCTCAGGCGAGACGGGCCGGACCACCTCGCGCAGGGCATCTCAGAGCTCAGAAGTTCGAGGATGTCTCAGGCGAAACGGGCCGGACCACCTCGCGCGCGGCATCGGGGAGATCAGAGTTTCGAGGATGTCTCAGGCGAAACGGGCCGGACCACCTCGCGCGCGGCATCTTGGAGCTCAGAGTTGCGAGGATGTCTCAGGCGAAACGGCCCGGACCACCTCTCGCGCGGCATCTGGGAGCTCAGAGTTTCGAGGATGTCTCAAGCGAAACGGCCCGGACCACCTCTCGCGCGGCCTCTCAGAGCTCAGATTTAGGAGGATGTCTCAGGCGAAACGCTCAATCCCGGACAACTCAGAAACGAGAGTTGTGAGGATGTCTCAGGCGAAACGGGCCGGACCACCACATTTGTTTGAGGATGTCTCTGCTTAGCTTTCCCTCGGCCGGAATTAGCTTCTATCACAACAGCACCCCGTTCAGCAAGCTGTTTGGGGAAATATGGGAATTGGGCGGGAAGACAAAAACCCAGAAAATATGGGAAAATATGGGGAACCTTTTCATTTGTGTGTATTCATTTGTGTGTCCCAGGGCCCCTTTAGTTAAGTTCTCTAGGGCTCTCGGGCGTGGCGCTGTCCGCAACGGGGAGCAAAGGGAGATTGGGTGACGCTCAGATCTAGCAGCGGGCGCGACGCCGAGCGCGGCCAGATCCCTGGCCTGGCGCCACGCTCTGCCCTTGGTGCGGGGCAGGGAGGGAGAGGGAGGGAGGGAGAGAGGGAGGGAGCTCGGACAAGCAGATGGGCGTCCCGTCGACAGCCTGCTACTGAGCTAGCTGAGGCCGCCATTGCACGCTTAGCGGTGGTGACCACCTTGGGGTACGGGGACGTTGAAACAGCCCCCCCCCGGCGCAAAGCGACTAAGGTAAAAGGCGGGGTCCTGAGCAGGCGATGCGCCACGTCTCTCGGCGCCCCGCGGTGGAGGAGCCCAGGTCGGCAAAGCCCCGTTTGGCGGCCAGGGGACAAGGGCTAAGCCGCTAAACGGCTCGCGAAAACGGGGCGTCCCCCGTCCCCGCAGCCAGGCACCGATGATGCGTGGCCGCGCGAAGAATCGGGATGGCGTGAGGGGGGGCCGACAAGCTAAGTAGGAGGCCCAGTGCGGACTTGCGCGCCCCTGAGCAGGTCGGGCAACGAGGGGAGGGGTGCCGCTCCGTCAGGTGACAGGTCGGCAGAGAGAGAGAGAGAGAGAGACGCACAGGCGTCACGGGTTCGGTGGATGCGCTGCACGAGCAGGCCTTGCTGGGAAGTACAAGCGCGGACTTTGTGGGTGACGGAGGAGAACTGGTGGCATAGACGGTCATAAGACGCCTGTGGCTCTGCGGTTCGGCCGTGGGCTGAGTTTGGAGCGTGGCGTGGTCGTCTAGAGCCAGTCGCGTTGGCGAAGCGGGCGGCGAGGTCGGCGAGGTGGTCGGTGCCTCGTGTGGGCACGGCTCTGCATTAGGGCCGCCGTAGGGTGGCGCCGTGGGCACAAATAGACCAGCCGAGGGCGGATGGTCCACACCGGCGGTCACCTGGAACTCTACCTTAGCAGTGGGAGGGGTGGCTGTGTCAGGTGGGTGCACAGATTGGAGCGACAGGTCACTCGTTGAGCTCGGTGCTGGGCCCGGCTTGCGGGCGCGGGCAGATGGCAAGGGGGAGCGGTGCCCTTGTCAAGCCCTCGGCCTGAGGGTGGGTGCTTGCGCATCGCAGGGCCCGCTTGGGTGGCCGCTCTGTGGGGGCTCATGTTTGGGCCACGCCTGTCAGTGGTTTGGGTGGTGCTTTGTTCGGCCTTGGACTGTGTCGTACCCGGTTCGAGCTTGAAATTATCCTTGGACGAGGCTGGGGGGGCCCGCGGCCTGACCGCTCTCTGGGGCTGGGTCTGGTTTGCGGAAGCAATAGTGGTCGCCCCCACCTCAGAGGGGAGCTGTGTCGCTGGGGCACCAGTTTGGCGGCCCGACTCCTCGTGCTTCAGGAGGGCGTAGTCGGCGCCCGCCATGGTAGGTGATGGCGTGAGGGTTTTCTCCGCACTCGCCGTGGTGACGGCGTTGCCGCGGAGAGGGGGCTGATCAAGCTCCTTTTAGGGCGCGACTATGGTCGGTGCCCCAGGGTCGCTGGCGCACTATCATTCTCGCCGTCGGAGGACGTGGTCGCGATGTCCCCAGTGGGCACGACTGTGGTCGGTTCCATCGGTCCGGTGCTTCGGGGCGGCCGCCGTCGGTGTTGCATCGGTGGTGGTCAAATGGGCATGGTTTCCAGATCGCCCATGCGCCCCCCCCGAAGCCCGAAGCCAAATGGGCCCTCCTCGTCGTCGTCAAGGGTTTTCCAGGCGCGGTGGGCTTCCTCCCGCAGGTCGTCGGGGTCGCTGGGGGCGCTTGGTTGACAACGGAGGGCGCCCGCCGTTAGCATGGGGTTTGGTTCGATCTTGCTCAGATGAGCGTTTGTGAGTCCATCTCGTCTGTGGGGTAGTGGCAGCCCGTGGTGTCGTTTGTCGTAGATGGTGACCGCGACGCTGTGGAGGGCACCACCGCAAAACGGTGTCGCTGTTTCGCTTCTTCGATCAAGTGGGGCGGGAGGTGGTGAAGGGCAACCGCGTCAGTGGCGAGATGATGTACCTGTCGATTGAACTCTTCCGCCATGACGCTGACGCGGTTTTCGTTGACGCCCTCATCGCCAAGGTGGCTTGTGACATCTCCACTCGGAAGGAATCAGGTTTGGCGAGGACGCAGCGTTTAGCGCAGATCCAGAGGTCGCCCTGTGGCCCATCCGATGCCAGGGTGGGGCCGTCAAGGATCCGCTGGGAGCCGTCCACCGCGGTCGGCATTGGCGGTTAGGTGACGAAAGCCAGGGTCTCAGCTCTCTGTGCGTTCTGGGTGAGTCCGTGGACGCGTGCGGCTTCGTTTAAGCGGTGGCCCCTGCCGCAGTAGACACCATAGGCAGCGCGCGCAAGCACCGGGATGGCTCGGTGCGAGCACGCTCCGTCGGTGGCCGCGTAGGCCCATTGGCTTCCGTCGGGGTCCGCGTAGGTGGCGGAGGTGTCGCCGTCGGGCCCTTCTGGCGGCGGTCGGGGGATGGGTTGGGGGAGCAGGCCCCCTGGAAAGCTCAGCTTAGAGGTCAAGGAGGTCGGCGGATTCGTCGACGAGCCCGCAGTGTCGCGAGAGCGGTGGGCGGGCCCCCCACTGCTCGTCGGGAATCATCGCGGCGAAAGGGGCGTCGTTCAGGTTCCCAGCAGGAGCGCCTCCAGATGGTGTGCTCTTGCGACTACTCGTCGTTATCGCAGTGCCTGCAGTGCGGGCTTGGG